TGAGGTATAGAGGGATGTCGGCCTGGTAGGTGTTAATGAAAATTCGCCCAGCGGCAGGACAGATTCTTGGAATGTTGTGCAGCGCCGCGGCCCTGTTCAGAGAATTGAAGGCGTTGGACGCATCCACCAGCAGAATACCTTGAGTCGTCTCGCGGTCATAGAGGCCGGTCAAAGCCTGCACCCCGACCTCGCAAGCCGACGGGACGCCGACGCACAGCTGATGAGGAGCAGTAACCGCAGCCACATCCCTCTCGATAACCGACATGACCACTTTCCCGATCACGCGGCGAAACACCTCCCCGATGGCTATAGGCCTTACCCCAGGCTGCTTATCCAATGGAATGAGCCTTGCTGCCAGGAATGAGCGGAGATCCCGCGGCTCAATTGCCTCAGTGCAAAGACGCTTGGCAGCACGAGCCAGAGCCGAGCACAGGTCGTCAGAAGCTGATGTATACATTGAGGCCATCCGACGCCAGGCAGCGGAGTCAAGGCCTGACGGACCCGCTGCCCCCTTCATAATCATGCAGGTCTTGCGGATTTGAGCTGGTGTTATTGAATCAAACAGCACATTCTCCTGGACTGTGGCTTCATCATCGAGTAGAATCTCTGGTTCTGCATCAGCCGGAACAGGATGCTTGTCTCTCAACAATTCCAGTACCGACTTGCCACCCACAATCTTGTCCAACGGGAGTACGCCACCACCACCATCATCCTCCAGGTAGTGAGCAGCTGTTCCAATGCGGTCGCTGTATACCATTTTTGCGAACTCGACGTCATCCAGACCATTAGCTGCTGTTTTGCCAGGTGTTGATCTGGGTAGATGGGCTTGAATGCACCGTGCCTCACGCAGCAATGCCGCCATGTCTCCACACATCCACCAGTCAAGACGCTTGCGTAACGATTTCTTGTTGTCAGAGGCATTGGATACTACAAAAGGCCGCTGCAAAATCAGATGGCAAGCAATGACCACAGCCGACCATGCAAAAGCTCCGTCGCGAGTTCCGCAGCTGAAAAGACCAATCAGGCGAGCTAGTTCTTTGACGAACCGACGACCCTCATCCCCGAAAGGTATGATAAACAGATTCCGTTGCCACTTGACTATTTCTGCATGGGTTTTGTCCATTAAAATGATTATATCGTCTGTTGGCAACGACCAAAAGCCATCAGGTTCTGGAGAATCACATTTCTCGGGTGGCAGATCAACAAACTGAGGCTGTCGAGACGAGCCGGGACCCACAGAGGTCGGCGCTGCAGACGCAGGTACCCGGGAAGCTGCAGTGGGGTCAGCAGAAGCACCCACGGGCGAAGGGGCGGCAGCGCAATCAGGAACCATCCCGGAGCACACAGGAACAGGCAAGTCCACCCGCAGTGACTCCCCACACGGAACCGCAGTCGCAGACACAGAACTACTACTACTACTACTACTACTACTACTACTACTACTACTACTACTACTACTACTACTACTACTACTACTACTACTACTACTACTACTACTACTACTACTACTACTACTACTACTACTACTACTACTACTACTACTACTACTACTACTACTACTACTACTACTACTACTACTACTACTACTACTACTACTACTACTACTACTACTACTACTACTACTACTACTACTACTACTACTACTACTACTACTACTACTACTACTACTACTACTACTACTACTACTACTACTACTACTACTACTACTACTACTACTACTACTACTACTACTACTACTACTACTACTACTACTACTACTACTACTACTACTACTACTACTACTACTACTACTACTACTACTACTACTACTACTACTACTACTACTACTACTACTACTACTACTACTACTACTACTACTACTACTACTACTACTACTACTACTACTACTACTACTACTACTACTACTACTACTACTACTACTACTACTACTACTACTACTACTACTACTACTACTACTACTACTACTACTACTACTACTACTACTACTACTACTACTACTACTACTACTACTACTACTACTACTACTACTACTACTACTACTACTACTACTACTACTACTACTACTACTACTACTACTACTACTACTACTACTACTACTACTACTACTACTACTACTACTACTACTACTACTACTACTACTACTACTACTACTACTACTACTACTACTACTACTACTACTACTACTACTACTACTACTACTACTACTACTACTACTACTACTACTACTACTACTACTACTACTACTACTACTACTACTACTACTACTACTACTACTACTACTACTACTACAGTCTGTATCGGCTATAGAGTGACCGGATATAAGAATATATCGGCTACAGTGATATTGGTACGAAATATCAAAAGCAAAACGTATTTTATCCAGTACAAATATCACTATAACCAATATTATCGGATGTAATGATATATCGGATATTATGATGGCAACATAGAATCAAAACATGCATAACACACTACATTATAATCGGCTATAGTGATAACTTTAAAATACATGTTGCAATAATATCAAAGGCCCTATTTTTTTTACTTTCTTCACGTTGCTTATTTTGATAGTGACACATGTACATGTACATAACAGAATTTTTTATGGAAATGCGGGCACTGTCAACTATGCAGCATGCTCATTTGTCAAAACGCCATGCTGGAAGTATTCCCTTGCCTTTCATGTTACCGCTCATTTATTCGCTCATGCATAACCTTCCTAGGGGCTCCCGTAAGAAGACCATAGGTCTGTGGGAAACACCCTAGTAAAATAAAAGTTAATAATAAAATAATAATAATGTGTCGCTCGAAAAAAATCGTTAATAATAAAATAATAATAATGTGTCGCTCGAAAAAAATCGATCATATCGCATATAGTGATGCATCGGTTATAGTGATAAAATCACGGAAATCAAAAGGGTACGCTATAGCCGATACAGACTGTACTACTACTACTACTACTACTACTACTACTACTACTACTACTACTACTACTACTACTACTACTACTACTACTACTACTACTACTACTACTACTACTACTACTACTACTACTACTACTACTACTACTACTACTACTACTACTACTACTACTACTACTACTACTACTACTACTACTACTACTACTACTACTACTACTACTACTACTACTACTACTACTACTACTACTACTACTACTACTACTACTACTACTACTACTACTACTACTACTACTACTACTACTACTACTACTACTACTACTACTACTACTACTACTACTACTACTACTACTACTACTACTACTACTACTACTACTACTACTACTACTACTACTACTACTACTACTACTACTACTACTACTACTACTACTACTACTACTACTACTACTACTACTACTACTACTACTACTACTACTACTACTACTACTACTACTACTACTACTACTACTACTACTACTACTACTACTACTACTACTACTACTACTACTACTACTACTACTACTACTACTACTACTACTACTACTACTACTACTACTACTACTACTACTACTACTACTACTACTACTACTACTACTACTACTACTACTACTACTACTACTACTACTACTACTACTACTACTACTACTACTACTACTACTACTACTACTACTACTACTACTACTACTACTACTACTACTACTACTACTACTACTACTACTACTACTACTACTACTACTACTACTACTACTACTACTACTACTACTACTACTACTACTACTACTACTACTACTACTACTACTACTACTACTACTACTACTACTACTACTACTACTACTACTACTACTACTACTACTACTACTACTACTACTACTACTACTACTACTACTACTACTACTACTACTACTACTACTACTACTACTACTACTACTACTACTACTACTACTACTACTACTACTACTACTACTACTACTACTACTACTACTACTACTACTACTACTACTACTACTACTACTACTACTACTACTACTACTACTACTACTACTACTACTACTACTACTACTACTACTACTACTACTACTACTACTACTACTACTACTACTACTACTACTACTACTACTACTACTACTACTACTACTACTACTAGTACTACTACTACTACTACTACTACTACTACTACTACTACTACTACTACTACTACTACTAGTACTACTACTACTACTACTACTACTACTACTACTACTACTACTACTACTACTACTACTACTACTACTACTACTACTACTACTACTACTACTACTACTACTACTACTACTACTACTACTACTACTACTACTACTACTACTACTACTACTACTACTACTACTACTACTACTACTACTACTACTACTACTACTACTACTACTACTACTACTACTACTACTACTACTACTACTACTACTACTACTACTACTACTACTACTACTACTACTACTACTACTACTACTACTACTACTACTACTACTACTACTACTACTACTACTACTACTACTACTACTACTACTACTACTACTACTACTACTACTACTACTACTACTACTACTACTACTACTACTACTACTACTACTACTACTACTACTACTACTACTACTACTACTACTACTACTACTACTACTACTACTACTACTACTACTACTACTACTACTACTACTACTACTACTACTACTACTACTACTACTACTACTACTACTACTACTACTACTACTACTACTACTACTACTACTACTACTACTACTACTACTACTACTACTACTACTACTACTACTACTACTACTACTACTACTACTACTACTACTACTACTACTACTACTACTACTACTACTACTACTACTACTACTACTTCAGTACATGCTGCATTGATGCGACGCTGCTGCATAGTACTAGTAGTATAGATTAGAACACAAGCATGCATAATCTGTGCATCACCCTTTTCTCCGTACAGCACGTTGCCCAGGGAAAATTTGAATGGCCAAGTTCAGCCACACTTCCATTACAGCATTCCTGCAGTCAGCTATAACGGTTTATTTTAATAAACTTAGGTAGCCAGTTTAGGCAATGTTGCTCACATTCCACCACAAAGCAAACGCAGTTTACTAGGCCTAATGAACTGCACTAAGCAGCAAGAAGACTTTCTGACTGTGGCTATGGAACTACAAAGCGATCGCCGCATGGGTTTTCCCAACAGCATGACGTTTATTAGGCTCAACATTGTTGTATACTATATTTACAGTGGAAATCAAGACAGGCATATGCCTAATAACAATGGACCCACAACATTGACTCAGCAATTTGACTGTATGCAGTGGTCCTGCACTCTGGCACCTCAGCTGTTGTAGGTGTTCAGGCCGTATGGCGTCTGGCCTTCATACAAATGGGGAAGCCTGTCTTGGAATAAATGTACCATTACGCCATCAACTAGACTTGGGAACAAGGAGTGTACCCATTGCAGTAGCTTAGTCTCTGCATAGGGATAATTGCATTGGCGAAGACGCAGCGTGGCGGTGCGGGCAATGGCATAGGCAGCATCTGCAGGGTCTCCGTACATCTTCAGAACATCAGGTAGTTTGTCTTTAGTATTGGCCTTTGTGTTGTCAGTGCCAAACAGGCCCAGTGCAACCAAGGAGATGGACACGTTCGACTTCTGAATCATCAGATCTTGTCGTAATGACCCGAAGAAGCCATGGAGGCCAAACTTTGATGCTGAGTACACATGAGTTAGTGCCAGTGGAGAAAGACCTACTGCCGATGACACAGCCACTACCGATCCATGACTCCTCTCCAATGCTGGCAGTGAGTACGTTGTCAAATAGATGTAGCTCAAGAGATCGACTTCCACAACTTTGGTCGCATAATCCAAATCAGACTTGCTCGACCAGACGGTGTAATAGCCTATCACGTGGTTCAGTATCAAATGATCAAATCCTCCCAACTTCTCCTCAGAATATTCAATCACACCTTTGCTGGTATTCTTGAAGGAAAGATCCCCGGCAAACACTTCCACTTGTGCTGCTCCCAGGTCACGACATTTCGCCTGCACTTGCTGTAGAACTTGCAGTCTGCGAGAAACCAGCACTAGTCTTGCACCAGCCCGGGCGTAAAGATAGGCAATCTGTTCACCAATACCAGTCGATGCTCCGCACACTATGACTCGTTTGTCCTTCAAGTCCACATTCGGATCAAACGTGTCGTACAGGGACACCGCTAACAGCACACCCACGACTAGCACGGAGACAAGCACGAGTGATTTTCGACTCATTCTGCCCTGACACAACTAATTACTTCACAAGAGTTTAGACACACAGCATAGGGTCCTTGCTCAATCACTACGAAATCCCTCTCGTGCACGTGTCGAGGGATTGAATGGTTTCTGTACCGGTGCGTAGCTGTTCGGAACTGGCAATGCACTTCTTTGACACAAGTTGTTAGATTATTATAGGAAATTTTTAGTATTGACAATCAAGCGTCTGACAAGTGACATCCAAGCTCGCTGGCCCGCTGGGCCTGGCGCATAATGCCATTAATGGCCACGATCATTGAGTACGTCACCAATGACACCTGTTGTGTCCATTTACTATGATTTTTTTAGAAATCCTGGGGCGGCAGGCTGTCTACCTCGGTTGTGATGCATCGCATGGGATGATGCTGCTGAAAATGGGAAGAATGCGTTCATCAGTTCTGGGGTGGGTACATGGTGCATGGTGGAGTTCTCTTTATAAAAACAAACTACTCCCTGGTCCGAACAGAGAAACTAGGGCGGAGCAGGGAAACTACCTTTAAATAGGGGTAGTCCACAAATATCGATATATTTTAGAGAAGATATTCATTCGCCTTCCATAGACGTCAACTACGGAACTTGTTCGGAATTAGGTATCCCGCAATCATCTCCAACAAAGACCTATATTCCAGAGCACACACACAGCCACTTTCGCACACCGTTGCTGTCCGCCGTTTCCGGATGTTGGGTCATGTTTCTTTCGAAGGCGATAAGCCAAACCCACCGGGAAATATTTCCATGGGTGGGACAGCAAAAAGAAAGTGAAAAAAATAAAAAGCTAAAAACCAAAGGGACAAGAAATTATATAGGGGAAGGAAAAGGAAGAAAGGAAAGAAACTCAATCCGAACTCCAACATCAAAACAATAATAAAGAATTTGCAGCGACAGGCAAATTATTATTATTATTATTATTTAAATAGGCGTCGAGGCGACAATATTTTTAGAATTGCGATCAACAGAACGAGCTGAACCGACATTTCACAAAGGCTTCAGCATCAGCATCGCTTGCTGCATCACCGGCAGAGACGACAACAATACCTACCTCAATATCAACGAGACCCAGAAGAACAACTGCTAATTACACCATGACCTATTTCAGTACGGAAGTACCGAGCCAACGGAATACACAACAGGAGCGTGAGACGAGGGATGGGAGGAGACGGGACCTGATTGCTCCGAGGCAGGACGTCGTTGAGGAGGATTCGGCCAGTGAGTCCAGTGATTCCAGTGAGTGTGAGAGCGAGAATGATTGTGTGAGTAAGAGTGGGTGCGAGCGTGTGTTTTCTAGTAGGAAGTCATCAGTGTATAAGCATCTTGCATCTCGTCCTGATTGCTGCAAGGTTTATTCTGATTCTTCTTTTTCTGTTTTGTGCCGTGCTCGTGATGGTTATAAGTTGCAGTTGAGTGTGTTAGAAGCTGTTTGTCAACGTATTCATAAGCCTAATCTGTGTGTCCAGAAGGACAGCATTATTCGTTTGAAATTGTTTTAGTAGCAGCTTGTTCTGTCTGTTTGGCTCTGGTTGGCCATGGTGTCATATCTTGTGTCACAGTATACTACTAGTACTAGTCCTTACAAGTTCGTTAAGTGCTTTCGCAGTTTTTCCTGTTATTTAATACCTTAGTGCTAGGATTATCATTTTCATAGGTGTTGTTTCTTCTCACTCCATTTCTCTTTATTAGTATCTTTCTGGATTGTTTTTCATTAGTACAACGTAGCTTCCTGAGGAGTGTTGTGCGAAAACTAGTTCGAAGTACAAATTATTTGTTCATCATTTTTCCCATATCACATTTTTTCTTTCTTCCATGTTCTTCACTGCCTTCGTATCCACTCGTTTTTTAATACAATAAAAGCCTTTGTGAAATGTCGGTTCAGCTCGTTCTGTTGATCGCAATTCTAAAATTATTATTATTATTATTATTATTTTGAAACTCGGATGTTGAGCCATAAATAAATGTAACATGATACTATATACAGTCAGAAAGTGCAATAACTAGGCACAAAACTGACAGAGTACTGAAACATTCGACGTCCTGACACCTAGCTTCAACACATCTCCGTATATAGTATCATGTTACAGTGATGGAGAGTTACTCTTAACTCGTATCGATATGTCCTTTTCTCTTCTACATTATTATTATTATTATTATTATTATTATTATTATTATTATTATTATTATTATTATAAGCCTGTTCGCGTTGACATCACCAAGTTACAGTAAGCTTGGCTAGTTTTCGCATAAGCCAAATGAACAAAAGAAATGAGGAACGAGCGAGGCCAATGAGGTGAACACACGCGTGCGACTGCAGAATAGGCAAACGGAATATACATGTACATGTAATAAGACAGTCCTAAAAACACACGAAATGTCAACTATTTACTTCAACAAATAAAACTGGAAACGGATGAATACAGGAATCATGACAGCTGACGGTACATAGTGGCAAAGCGACATAACACGAGTATACTCTACACGATAGCACAATTCTACTTATAAACTACAGCCGAGAACCACGTAGTCGAAAACTAACCAACGTGGGTAAACCATTTTCACATGCACAGACAATTTGAAAAAAGGTTCGAACGTTCAGGAAAAAGGCATTACTTGCATGACACATTGGCAGGACGAACAAGGCAAACTTCTCTTACCCACAATAATAGAACAGCTTACTGGATCTTATATTAATTTTAACATCTACCTTCACTGATGAGCTATGTATTAGCAAAACAGCTGTCTGAAGGAGTTATCAATATCGTCTACGGAAGCGTCCTCGCAGTGGTGATGGTTGTGTGCAGGAGGGTCTAGTCGGCTAAAGAGCGCAGTGTAATGGTGGAGGTGACTCAACAGCTTGCAGGATCGCTTTTCTAGATAACACTGGGAATGAAAGTGGAATGGCGCTCATTAAGATTCGCAGGACCCCAATGACCTTGCCACTAGATAACACCCGGCCCCAGCGAAGCTAGTGAATCACCTGAAACAAAATGGGAAAGGCTTTTAGGGGATTGATGCAGGACAATTGAATTGGTGAAATGGCGGCCTACAATTGTTTTTTGTTTGTTTTTTTTTCTCTCCAAAAACAACAAGTAACCCCAAAGCACGAAAAAGGCCAAAAACTAAACCAAGAACATGTGCAATAACATGCCTACATGCCTACATGCGGCCTACAATTGTAGACGACGCAGGACATACATGTAGTATCAAGAGTACATAACCCCCTCTTGGTAGTATCCGTACACATATACACGTACATGTACATGCATGTTTATAAAGGAGAGCTGTACCTCTCCATTATGGGAAAGAGAGAGAGAGAGAGAGAGAGAGAGAGGGGGGGGGGGGAGAGAGAGGGAGAGAGAGAATCAAAGTGGAAAATGTCGGAAAATTGCCCAAGCATTCACCAGGAAACCTTCTATGTAGAGCTCCATGCGTTGCGCATTGAGCACTCGTCAGGCCGTTTGCCAAACTTTTTCTATAATCATGAAAGGTGAATCTTCTGGTGTCAGAGAATAATGTAGGTAAGTGTTCTTCTGAAGTATTGAGATAGGATCAAAGACAAGACAGGAGGGGGGGGAGGGGGGGGGGGGCTGTGCTGCAACTCCGAGTTTCACATAGTCACGATCATCAGGCAACTGATGGCTCCAAAACGGGCAGCCTGAAATATGACGAAGCAAAGTGAGATATACTGAGGGGAACCAAGTCTTTAGACTTGCCCCTTGCTTGGGGCTATGCGATAGGATCAAAGAGACAAAGAGATTATTTTAATTTCGGCCTGTCAGCGATTATTTCTTTTTCGTCTTGGAAGAGACACAGTTAGCGCACATTGTCCCTGATGTATTGGATGACCGCGTCAAACCCCATGTTGTCCGTGTTGGCGTCGATAACGCCGCTGGTGCCCTGCTTGGTTGATCTGGCGTTGATACGCGGCGTGCAAACTCGCCGGCCGTCGCCAAACGGCGCTGCAAAGTCATTGTCGATCAGGAACACGTCGAACACGGGTTTCGCGTCCGTCTTGACGTGCACCACAAGGTTTTGTACTCGGATTGCGCCCTCTCCGCGCCACTTGACGACCACGTTCTGGGGCTTGATGTCAGTGTGCGCCCAACGCGCGCTCGCCAGCTTGCGCTGAATGTCGCGAATCTTGGCGATTAGCTCATCCCTGTTGGCACGGGTGATCCTGCCCTCCCGGACAGCTCTGTTTATCACAGTCCCGGCCGCCATTTGCACACCTTGTGGCGTGCGAGTGAACTCGATCCCGACGCCGAGCGAGCGCAGCTTGTCGTAAGCTCTATACATCTTGTTGCGTTCGGCCGCCGGAAAGTCCTTCAGGTAGAAGTCGCCATCTTCGTTGATAACGTGTTCCACCGGCTTTCCTTCCTGAGCGTTCATGCCCATCGCCGTATAATTACTATAATAGACCGTTGCCATTGTGCTGAACTCAAAGAATACACAGCGCTGGAGAAGGAGAACACGACACTGGAAGCGGACAAGAGCCTGAAGAGGCAAGCAAGAGGCAGGCAAGCTTTCACTCGGACCAAGCGCACCTTATTATGGTGCAGTGGGATGGACGTGCCCGCGACTAAATAGCCCACCTTGCCAGCTAGCTAGCTTCGCTCAAGCAAGTTTCACGCATGTACGCATGGAATGCAGGGGCCGGGCGCGGGGTGTCTCGTCAGGATCGACGGTTCCAGAGCTCGACACGCGGCCCTTCGTGGACACGCAGGACGTCACATTCATACTTTGCACATTATCAACTGCTCAGTTATCAAAGGAAAGCATAATTATTGGTTTCAAAGTTCAAAGGAAATGTTTGTGACTCATCCATTTGATCGAAAGTACATGACTGTACATGAGCAGCATGCACACGGGGCAGAACAACAGAGACCAAAAACAGCATTGAAAGACAGTCCCAACGACCCAAGGGGGACTTTCTTAGCATCGTGCATTCCCGCTGACGTACTCGCATTGCTTGTTTTCCGGGAGTGGTCAACCGGTCGCGCAGAGTCGTGTGCAAGAAGAGTTCACGAAAGGAATTAGGTGACAGACGCTGTCGCTTGTGGCTCAATGTAGCTGAACCATCGGACCTTATTTGTCAGCTTGGATCACGTGATCCATCCAGCT